GCAATTATTCCTTAAGTTAACTATGTCGTATTAGAGTTTAATTTTGAGGGTTTCGAGTTTGTTAATGGTGAAAACCATTTTTAGGGTTTACAATTCTTAGATTTAGGGTTTAAAAATTCTTAGTTAGTGGCATTTTTAAAATGGACAACTCATAGTGACATTTTTAAAAATGGACACAGCAAAAATATCAATTTTGCAATTATCCCATTTAAAAATATAACGGTGATGTGTCTGTCTATTAATTCATTTTTTATTGATAAATCAATTATTTTATGTGAATTTCTCCTCAATCAATATATATATATATAATACGTTTTAGAATCTTCAAAAATTTAAGAATATATTATCCTAAAAGATAGTAATACTACAACATGAAATCTACCAAAACTTCAATAATATATCGCTCTGAAAAATATATACTAATATTGACTATTATTTTTCGCAGGGTTTGGCCAACAATGGTTTTTGTCATTAGTATACAAAACCGGGCTTTTACACGGTTCGTTCTGGATACGAGATGGCTAGACATGATATAGAGAAAAAACTTCAACTTTTGCTCCACCAATAAGTAAAGCCACGCAAGAAACTGATGTAGAAAGTTGATACAACAAACAAAATCCATCATTTCTTATAGCACACCTTTTTTGGGACTCTTACCGTTAATGAACGACTCACTCAATTGGTGTTGTTCAAAATATGGAAACCCAAAGAAAAAAAAAATGACATCCTCTTCACATGTCCCTCTACTTTACAAATCAATATGACAATATCTAAGATATTAGGTGAAACATATAATCATTGGGGCAGGCCGGTCATGAGATTTTCAGTCTCCATACAAAACCAAAAAATAAAAATTAGTTTTTTCTATCTAAATCTATATATACCAAAAGTACTTATGCAATAAATCATAAAATTACTTGTAATCTTTTATTTTCTATGATTATCATATATTTGTTTAGAAAAAAGTAAATAATTGAAACAAGTTTTGTTAATTTTCTCTTTACTACCTAAATTTTCTAGTAATTTCATTTGTTAGTGTAAAACCATTGCATTTTGTTATCTCATTTTTTAATTATATATTAAAAAAAAGATTTTTGTTTTAATTATGGGTTCCACAAAAGTGTTTTTCGAGAATGTTCTCAGGCCAGCACTACATTTGGGGAATCCATGTAACTGATGAGGTAAATAAG